CCAGACGAGTCGCCATCGCCGAATGACCAGGCCGAAAAATGTAAAGCGCTCGTAAATGTATCTCCCTGATAAAAAAAAGTCGAGAGACGCATTTCCAGAGTTGAATCGTAACGTAGTTGCGTAACGATGCTCGATTACGGATGATCCTCGGAGATTAGAGAAGAGACGTACTTCCGGTGATAATTTTTAAATTCACCGCGCGCCGCGGGTTATTATCTTTGTCGTAGGAAAGATTTGAAATCGTACCGAGGAAGTACGCGGAAATATTCGCGCGAGCTTCGATAGCTTTGAAGGAAGAAAATACAAGAAAATATAATGTAAATCATAGTTCGCTGATGAAATATAGCATGCGGAAACACAAACGAATCGCCTTTAGGCGTTATTCATCAAACACAGGCACACCTGTTGTTCGGTTCATTAATCGCCTCTGGCAGGCGACTAATTAAGATTTTTCAACAATGCCAATAATTACGTCAGAACACGGCGAGCAAACAAGAAAACGCAAATGAGCATGTTAATTATGGACAGCGTGGTCTTCGTCGCGTGTACATGTTCTGGATGGATTCAGTGAAAACGAATTATGATTATGAACGAAAATAACGATATTATGATAATAATAATAATAATAATAATAATAATAACATAAAGGAAGATAATTTACAAAATGAAATGAATAAAGGCGACTATTTGTGAGTTTACTTCGTCATGAATGATCAGTCAGAGACGTCCTTATGATCCTCACGATGGTTGAACGTGTTGGAGAACGCACACACTTTCGCTCACACGTTGCTCGTTACACGATCGCGATTAATCACGATTTTGCTCCCGAAAAGACAGCTTCGTCCGAGATTATCTCTTCACGAGGAAAAAGGTGAGAGAAGCGTGAAAGAGAAAAAGAGAAACCAACCTCGTTAAAAAAAAAAAATCGGCGCGCCTCGCAAATTATGTGGATAAGCCTCGCGCAACTTGAAACTTCAGCCCCGCTCGTCACGTCAGGTGCAATACTCACGACTGATTTGATCCAACACTAGATCCGACACAGAACGAATAAATCCCACCTTCGCGACGCGAGGAGGTAGGGGAGGGTGTGGAACAAGGAGAGGGAATCAGAACTCGTGACGATCTTCTGTTAGCAGATAAGAACGGATTGCGGCGGTGCGCTACCTTTTGTGTCGCCGACGGTTTTGTGCACGATATCTGATTTTACACCTGATCGTACCGTGTTGTAGCGATCATTACGCAGATATGATGTATGAAACGATTACGACATTCTCCTGGCTACTGTCATGCAGATCGGTCTCGCTAGAGATCACATTGACCAAGTGAATACAACGGAGATGAAGAGACGAGAGAGAGAGAGAGAGAGAGAGAGAGAGAGAGAAACGAGACGTTGTAGATAAGAACTATTGACACGAGACTCATATAAGGTTCGTTCCTTTATTTGAACGTTCATCTCTCTTTCCTCTTTCCTTAACGTAGAAAGAAAAAGAAAAGAGGAAAAACGATGCGGGAAATTCAGCTGAAAACAGGCCTACGTATCTATAAAATTTGATATTCGTATTTGACTTCGTAATAAATCTTCTTATCTTCGTTCTCTGCATATTAATCTCATCTTCAATTCGTATCGTGAATCTTCATCAACGATACGTTTATTACAAGAATGTGGAAAATAATTGATACGTTTTTCCACGGCTGTTCAGTGTTGCGTATACGTTGTAAATTGAGAGACGTACGTAATTCCGAATTGGCGTGTACGAGAGATAAGAAGAGCGCATAACGGAGCAAGGAGAAGTCAATATTGGTCGCGCGTAATCGCGTGGAATACGGTGAATCGTGCGACAAATGATAATCGTCACTCGTGAATTACGTGATAAACCCGATCACGTTTGTCACCTGCGTATTATCCACGATACAATGAAATTTTTCCTCCACAGTTGCAGTTCTCGAGCGCGCGATTGGACACACGATTGGAATCAAACGCATCGAATGTTCGCTCGCAAGAATTTGCGGGGCGAAAATATTTTCGTTAAAAAAATGCGAAAAAGAATAATTTCGATTCAGATGACTCCGGTTGAGAAACTAAAATGCGACGAGCAAAATAACGGATAGGATATGTGCGAGTACGAGTACGGAACGCAATTGATGTGGATTAGTAAATGACTTCCCGTCGAAATAATTATTCTTTCGAACAAGGCACTTCGACCACCGGTCGTGTCCGGTCGTTTTTTAACTTCATGGGCAGTGGGCGGCTTATTGTTCCGCAATAATTAATTGTTTCGCCAGGGAAATTGCTGGATACGCGGTAATCGCTTTTGGCTCGCAAAGCTTTGCCTCGCATTGATTTTAATTACAAATTAATAATTATTACAATGACGAAAAACTTTGGCGGGTTTCTCAGGTGTATCGCTTCGCGCCACTGTCGTCCCGTCCGAAGTCCCGGCTTGAAGACTGCATTTAGATAAGCGGATGATAATAAGTCACGGGTGCCGTGCTACCTTTGTATGGCACACTTTGTATAAATGTTCGTTATCTCTTGATTACTTCATTCCTATCGCTCGTATAACTTCGTGAATTATGTAGTTCTATGTTAATCCTTAATATGCGAAGGACTCCTCGAACTTGATACTCGAAACAAAATTGCTTCTTCGCATGTACATAGTTACGCAATGTAAAGACAAACTGAAAAATCTTCGAAATATATGCTTTAATAACAGACATTATGAAACGAAAAAACATAATGTGGCGATAATATTTTTGCGCTAAAATATTTACCTAAAATTTAACTGAAAAACGTGAAATCTCATCTATTTCTGTCCCTAAATGAAAAACTCCCCAAAATCACGTTTTTAATTATAGCTGAAAAATCACATTGGTGTTTTCCCAAGAAAATTTCCGCCACCTCCGTTAAAAGTTAACCAAACATCTTATATAATAAAGTCATAAAAAATGCAATTTAAACAGCATTGAGTCTTGCAAAGTCCAAATACCGATTAGAAATTCTATAAGGATTGAAGTTCGAATTTATTAATGACGCTTCGGTAATAATATTATCTGGTAATAATATTATCGATGGTAATAAAATATAATTATTATTTTGTAAGATTTCATTGAATCTTTCGCCGCAATTCGTGGCTACGACGAAATCGCGATACCTCATAAGGTCGGAATTTATCCTTCTGCGGCTTCTAGGTTGTCGCGGAGACCTCCGATCTAACGGTCAACTATTACGCAAATTGCCGTATCTCCAGTGACATCTTTCATTATGCGGAATGATGAAATTGAAGCGTTATTACGCTATATACGCGCGCGCGGTCCTGCCGAGGAGAATACGCGTGATGTCATGATAGATTAAATTCACGTGACGGCGGATTCGAACAACTTTTCGCTCTTTTGCAAAATAATCAAGCCATATGGCCGTTCGTTCGACGATTAAAGATCACGATTAAGATATGAATATTTTATATGAATATAATTTTATAATTTTATTTCTCAACAAAGCCAATTGATATTGATATTGAAATTAATTGATATTGAAATTATTACCTATATACCTTCAGATATCTTCGATTGGGCTTCTTTTACTCAACGGAAATAAAGAGATTTTATTTTATTTTTATTATATCGAAATATCGTCTGTAAATAATAAAATTATTTCATTAGCAAGAAAGCTTTCTTAAGAACAAAGTATTGATTGTTAATGATCAGAGTGACGCGTGACTATTCGTTATCTCTGATACCGCGACAGAAGTAATCAATCATTGCAAAGTAAATTGCAAAGTAAATTGTGTGTATATCATAAAATAAAATATTTAATGATTTTATAAAAACTACAGATAATCTTATCTCGCACGATGGTTCGTTCAATGTACAGTTAATCCATGAAATTCCGGTCAAATGAGTATGATTATGAAGAATATGCTAATACGCGGAAAAGAAATTATTCGATTTTTACATTTAAACGTCACGTCAACAAATACTTTATCTAATAATGCGATTATTGAGACTAGAATAAAAGAAAAAAAATATTGTACATTTTATATTTTTTCTTTATATTTTTTCACTCTTTGCATTCTCCATACTTATATATATTTTTTTTAACTTGTTTCATAAATCAGCAGAATGGCTTCAAAAGTTTCTTTAAAAGTTTTATAAGAAAAAGTTCGAGTTTTTATGAAAGAGAGTTTGTGAAAGAGATCTATCGAGTTATCGTCAACCCAGTGTTTCGAAAGTATAACAAAAACCCTACTCCAAACATCGAAGCAAATCTTTTTCACGATGCTCACGTCTATCGAAGTAATAATGGCAAATTAAAAACGTATTATAACAGCAGGCCTCATTGTATTGCGTGACATCCTATAAGGACAGATTTTTAACTAGGAGAGTAATATTAAACCTCTACACCGCCTAAATTAGTATCCATGATTGACGATCGTCTACTCGTTACTGGATAAATATGAACTTCGAGCAATAGTTACGTGCATCCCGCCTGTCATGCATTTCAATAATGATACGAGAATGTTAAAGTTAACGTGTGTATATAATATTTATTCTGTTGCATAAATAATTATATGCTCCAGCCATTGAAATCTGAGGTTTGCAAATGGCAGTACAAGGAAGAGAGAGAAAGAGAGAAATGATGTCTCATGATGCATAGAAAATTTTTTCAAGAGCTAAAGAAGCTTTTCATATCACTTCAAATAGTTAGTCTTAAATTAACACTTAAGTAACACTTTGAACTTAATATTTTTTAAACTTATTTATTTTAATTGTTTTAAGAACAAAAATAATAAGAATTTTATAAAAGTACATTATTACTGTATACATAAGATATTGATAAGATAATATCTTGCTAAGCTAAGTGAAGATACAATGATGAATATTTTAAGATCACCTTGTATATTTCGATTTTTCTAGTTACCCTGTCTGCCAAGAGATGGCAATGCTTTCTCGTAAACAGAATATCAAAATCAGCGTATATAAACCCAAGGAAGGTGTATCAGGCTATCCTTGTCTTTGGGGAGCAAAGTGCTCAATGATCGTTTAGTGAGAGTGCTGTTGCTGAAACCCATTATAATTTAACTCGCATCCGTGATAATATCATGAGATGCAATTTTTGGATAGCCTCTTTACTTCACAAGAGGCTTCTGATATAAATAAACTATATAAATAATCAACCAAAAAAGATACTTATATATTTATTTTATTTATACATTATTTGTCAATCAATTGATTATTGCTTTATTATCATTAATTTAATTGACAAAACTTATATAATACTCTGCTTAATAAATTATATTTTGTCAACAAGTCTTCTACGTTTAAATTTTTTATATTTATTTTAATAATATTATACAACAGAAATTTTTGAAAATTAATATCTTGATTTTGAATAGTATAAAATAAATACTATTAAAATAAATTTCATATAATATTTCATATAATATTTCATATAATATTTCGTATAATTAATGTAAATTATTTGACACTGTGATATACTGTGGTTTATAAATGTACAGTTAACTAAGGAGCAAACGTTTGACAAACGGTTTCAACAAATTGCTATTTACACAACAGTATTCTATATGCATTACATAATGCATTGAACGATATCACTGTTGAAAATAGTATTTGAAATCTGAATGTGGGCCATTAAACTAGTTACTTCGTAATTTTTTCACATTTTTTTTTTACTGTGTACACATGATATAAGCAATATTGTACACGCATAGATATAATCGTGCTTTTAAATTTGAAGACAATAATACTTCAAATTGCTTGCAAATAGAAAAATCTTTTTGCTGACGTATTTCACACAAAAATATTTAAAAAATTTACAAACATTAAAAGCATGAGAGATTTAGAAATGTAATGTTATGCTTTATAATTTAAATTTTATTGCATGGTTTCATAAAATTAAATACGATAACGATAAACCTAAATAATTTTAGTTAAATAATTTTAGAAGAATAAAACCAATAATATAAAACGCTCTAGAACTGTTTTATATAAAATAGAATGATAAAATAATTAATTCGCCGAGTTTTCAGTCCAATTGTATATTGAATGATAATCATTTATCGTCATCTTCAGATAGCAGGCCTTTCTTCAGAAAGTCTGCTTAGTTAACCACCGGATAACCGCGGCCTTCCGCGTAGACACATCGCACGCCGCATATCAATCGTAGCCGTGTACCAAATTAAGCAACCGCGTAAGTCATTGGCGAAAGACCGAGCACACGTTCAAAATGTTTAAGCAGCGAGAACCTTGGACATCAATCAGTCACTGAGTGACCCTAATAAGCACAGCGAACCATCTGCCTGGCGAAATCGTGACAAAAGATGCTGCGGCATCTTTCCTATTGCGTACAAAATATATATAAAAAAAATGCCTTGAATTTGTTGACTATATCTGTGTTTTCTATGAATAAATTTTTTTATTTACTTCTGATAAAAATGTTCAAAATAATTCTTGAATGATCAACACAATGGGAAATATATTTTAATATCTTTTTCTCAAATTTTGATATTCGATATTGAGATTAAAATTAAAATACTGTTAAAATAAAGTCCTGCGAGAGCAAAATGAAAAATAAGACTTTGGTACCAATCGATTAAAGAACAACTCAAACAATAATAATAATAGGACAATTATAAACGGTACGTTTTACAATAAAAAATGTAAATGGATAAAACAAATCTACATTTGTGTATAAATAAAATTATCGTATGTGGTCCATAATAGCATAAGCCAAATGGTCCACAATTTTAAATAAACTTTACGTCCAGCCGTGTACATAATCGCTTAGTTGCAAAATGTATGAACGCACACACACGAAAATCCCCTAACGACTTCTCTGAAGCACCAACCTTGAGATAAAACAGCACACTTTTCGAGTGAGTTATTTCATAGTAAATGTAGCACTATTATTTTGTAAACGGACCTAAGTAATAATAATAATAAGAAAATAATAATGAAAAAAATAAAAGAAATAAAAAATAAGAATGTTTTATCTGTTTACGAATTTGCATTTTTATAACACTATTATATCCTATTAATTTTATCTTCAGTAGTATATTTGTCATAAAAGCTCGTAATTGACTGACAACCGATACTTTGTAAAATTGCAAAAATTGCAAAATTTGATACTTTGTTTTCCCTTCACTTTTTCAATAATTAATTATCAGTTAAACCATTGTATACAAGTAATGAAATAAAAGTAAAAATATAAGGAAGAAACAGTTGGACAAACTCGAAGAGATAAATCTTGTTTCTGAATATCTTTTCTCACAAGAAGCAAGTTCAAGCACGTGTTGAGAGAAAGCGAATAAACACCGGCACCAAAGAAGAAGGATAAAGCTAAGGCTAACTAGCTAGGATACGAACCGCTGACGGGGGCATCGAACTTTTACTCTCGAAGAAAATTATGTATACCGCACATATACAGTAAGACAGTCTATGCATCGTTCGATTACCTTACTTCACAGTCGTGGAGAAAACTGCGTAATGCATGGAGAAGAGAAGAGAGAAGAGAAGAGAGAGAGAAAGAGCTTTAATCTACGGATTCTTTGATCAATTTGGAGTCGTTTCCTCGATAAAAATATCGCCAAACCAATGACCTTTGCGACCCTGAAGCGACTGAAAATCGCGAGAGCTTTTCCAAAATTCAACTTCAAAATGAATAAAATCTATTCTTCTTCTAATTTTACTTCGGACTTTAGGAAATTTGCACAATTCGGGAGTTTATAGTTGTGAAGGTATCTGAAGTTAAAAAAAATAGCCAAGTAACTTTCTCGCTCAATATTCTGTTCAAGCTCAAAAATTAGGCTTCTGAAAAGGCTTTCTAAATTAGTGTGTCTCTCAACGGGATGTTCCTTACACTTTCGCGCAAATCGCAATTTCTCGTTATCATAGTTGACGCTCATTGACCCTGATAAGCGCGACGTGTGTCCAGGTGATTGACTATGTATCGATTACAATTCCCGTGACTCGTCACCCGTCGACTTGCGGAAAATCGATATCTAGAGCTTTATTTATATCCGACGCGTGCATAAAGTGACGAGGGGGGAGAGGGGGGGCGGCGGGAGGGGGGAGGGTGGCCACCGCAGCCGCGCGAAGATGAAAGAGTTTTTTAACAACCGTCGTTGCATGCCGCAGCAACAATCTCGCAGATAGACTCGACGCAGATACGCACTCCCAAAGGTAACGCTTTGTATATTTGTACTATCCGCGATATTCGCCAAGCAGCTCGTAGAACGAGTCCGTTGTTCGCGGATCTCCGCGTACGCGCCGCTCCGTATACCCTGATGCTATTTATACGAGATATATGCAACTTTTACTCATACGCTCGGTATATGAAATCATCCTGCTCTTCCCATGGAGAAAAGCGAGTTCTCCACGAGTAACATATACGATGAGCAACCGTTTTATCTTCTCGGTCAGCTTTCCTCGAAAGCTGACCGAGAAGATAAAACAACAATGCGCCGCACTCTTGTCCGAATAAAGAGATCATTATCAAATGACACTACAAATTGTGTTTTGTATATTGTTACTAAAAGTACGTCAATTGATATGGAACTGATATTCGTATATTTTCTGCAAAAATTCAAAAACCTCACAAAATTGAGGAGAAACGTAAATTTCAAAAGCGCGATTTTTGCGTTCGTTTAATTAATTAATTTTTCTTTTTAATCCTTAGAACTCCTTAAAAACAAGATAAAAAGGAAATTATGAAAAGCAGATATTTACTAAACTTTTTAATGTAATTTTATATTCCTTAGAATATTTGTCGTTCATAGCAACATAAAAGCAACCTACTAATTTTAAATCCAGACGGCACGCGTATTAACGTCGTTAATAATCGAATAAAATTTAATATCAATTGCTGGAGAACCGCCAAATTTTCCGAATTTCAAAGTTTTCCGCGCCATTCTCTAAACTCGCATTCCGCTCCGAGTCGTGCCTCGAAGCTTGATTAAAGCGAGCTCTGAGTAATCAAAGGCGTCTCGCCAATTATTTGACTTGGCTCGTGCAGGATCAGACGGAGCTCGTAGACAAGCGTATAAAGATTAACGCCACCGCAGCTGAACGCGAAAATAAGATCGACCGCGGTTGCCGCACGTTGCACAAGTTAATGTTAAAAGTTAATTCGTGTTTGCGCGGGATTCAGCCCACCTCGTACGGTGGCATGCAACAGGCATGCTCGAGTTTAGAGTAGTTTAGTTACAAGTATGGCCTGTCAATTAAAACTGTCACAACTCTCACCAAAATAAATTTCTTTATTTAATCCTTATTGTTTGTCCCCCTCCCCTAAAAAAAAAATTGTTGCATTTATTATTTGGAAATCAAAGTACCCACAGCGAGCGCGGCGGAGTCTGGTTTGAAACCAGAATCCCGTCGCGCGACCGTCGTGAATTTCTCCCCGGCAAGAGATACATAAACCCGATTCGTCTCGTACGTCTATTCTTACGTTCATAAGGTTATTTACACTCGTCTGACACCATTTCGGTGACTTGAGCCATCGCGTCCGGAGCCAAGCTCGACTATTTGTCCGCCAAAGTACGTCTAGCGGAGGCCCGAGCGTCGAAAAGCGATTTCATGTCTCGCGAGGAGCACGAGAGATCTGAGAATAATAGAGCCGATTGTTTGAAGTTTCAAAGAGCATACAAATCACTCTTGAGACCTGAGAGAAGTTCCTGAGAGAGTATTACGAACCATGCGTCATTTCCACCACTCGCTTGTCTCGAAAGTTTTATTTCGATCGCTTGTCGTTTTGCCATTGTTCAAAATTCTTTCGTAATGTTTGCACAGATCTACAAAAAAAACATCTTAATCATAAATACAGGAATATTTAAAAATGTGTCACAACTGTCAACATTAAAAAAGAATAAAACTATTCGCAACATTAAAAACGAATAAAACTATTCGCATCTATTAAAATTAAAAAAGGACAACAAAATCAATTTATTAATGCATAAATGTTGAATAGTTTTGTCTTATATTAATGTTCCAATTGTGTTTCTTTTCAATCTGATTTACTAAATTTTGTAGTAAACATATGAAATTTTCCATATCAATCAATAACTTTAATTTTCAATAGCAACAATAATACAGCAATAATACAATTTAATTTAATATTATCGTTATATTGTTTGCCATAAAATTTATTTAAATATTAAAATTATATTCGACAATTTTTGGAATAAACCAAAGTGATGTACAACCGGTTATGACCGCACCGAGATTATTGAGCAATTTAACAATAAACCAAATTCAATATCTACTACACAATGAAATCAATATAATATTAATTAATATAAACTTATTATCGTAGGATGTCACAACAACAATGTCGTTAAATGGATCTGTCATAAACATATGCCTTTCTAACCGACGCATTTTCTTAGATACTAAATTTACAAAGTACTTTTACACGCCGTTTTTTACCGCTCATGAAATATTCTCACGAGAGTACTTCCCGCAGGTACTTCCCGCAGGTACGTGCCCCGCTGAACACCCGCTGCGACTCGTGGCCGCGGGTCGCAGGCTTACCCGATTCTGGAGAGCACGGAAATATGCGCGTTGGCATTTGCTCGATACCGCGCGACAGCGCGATAAGGCACGATAAGCACTCGTGGATTACGTGCGAACTACGCGACGCGACAAGCCGAAAGGGACTGGACGGTGGCCGCGACCCCACCACGAGCCGGCACTCCGTCGACGAATGTAAACATTCACGGCGACAGCTGATCGCCTAAGTACACGCTCCGATTCTAGCCCCCGACGTGGTGGTGGTGGTAGCGACCTGCTGCTATACGAGTCGAATATTACAGGCGGACAGTTATAAAACGATAGGTATCGCCTAGGATGCTATTTCGTCTCCACACGCAAGCTGTGCCAAGTAAATACTCGCGATACACACAGTTCGAGTTACCCTTAAAAAATATACGGTCTATTCAAACGCAATATATATCCGAGTTTTTTTACAGCTTATATATATATATATATTAAAATAATATGAATTATGTGCAATATGATATAGGATACATGTAAAAAAGCATTTTGTAGTCGTTTAAACAACATAAAAAATGTCCAAAATGTCTAAGGAGGTATCTTTACAATATCTTTTGTGTTGTTTGAATGAATATTGTATCTCATCATAAAAAATAAATCAATAGTAAATATTTTAATGTACAATTGGGAATATCTTTAATCTAGAATTTCTATATAAAAAAAATTCTAGAGTAAGATTCACAAAATCATGTATAACTTTATCTGTATAATTTTTAAACTGTCATGTGATTACGTCATAGCTTTGGTTTGATTTCACACGAACGAAATAGGAACTCAACATTTATAAACTAGATTTTGTGTTTCTTTAACTATCATACTATTTGGAATGTGTATAAATATATACATATGTAAATATGTACATATATATAAAAATGACTATTGCAAGGTCTATTTTATTATACCTTGCAATTTCTTTCATGAATATATATCTAGAATATATATCTATATATAAAAAATTAATAATGCGGTATCTGATATTGCTAAAAAAAAAAAAAAAGCAATAATAATGCTAACATTTCGTTTGAAGCATAAAACAGCTGAAGAAAAAATTTTTGAATTTATGCTTAATATTAAGTACAATATTATTCATCCTATTCATCATCCTTTGTAATCCTTTGTATAATTTGTAGTAACCAGTTTTTTATATTATATTAGGTAACTCTATTCAAACACCATTCATGTGTAAACTGAATAAAAATAATTAACCCAATTATTATAACGCGTTATAATAAATAAAAATCGATAAGAACAATAGCTAAAAAATTATATCAAATTCAATTAAAAATTAATTTCTATTTTAATTTTTTATTTCACGCAGATCTAATATGTCATTGTTTAAATATCACTAAAATATAACTATATATAAAATAAAACTTAAAATATAAATAAAAAATATCTTATATACCTTAGACAGAGCTAATATTTAGCATGTCTGATTTAAACCTGTCTGATGAGTCTCATCAGTCATTTGTTTTATTTATTACTATCCTAATAGTAGGACATTACGGTGTTTCGTTATTTATACTCTCTCTAAAAGACTCTATGCCCATAGTCCAAATTACCGATGTATCGGTATTCACAATTACTTCAGAATCTTCATATGTATTTGAAGTACTTACTAAACCGCCGAATTGCATAGTCGTGTTACCTGAAGCATAATAAAAAAAATCAAATTTGATATTCAAATGCGATACATTAAATATTGATGGGATAAAAGGTACAATTTATCTATTTTAAGTTATTTTAAGTTAAAATAAATGAAAAATAAACGTACTTAAATTCCACTTCAAGCCAGTCGTTGATATGCAATTGACGGGACAACCAATTGGTAGCAGACCACACCATGATTTCCGTTGCACTAAGATTTCTGGTATATGTATATTGTGCAAACCAGGCTTTAGCAACCACGTCAAAGAATTGCTTGCAACTTGTATCACCTGTAAAAATGATTTAAATTAGGATACATAACATAGAAATGCAATGGTAAGTCTATCTATCAATCAAAAACTTTACCTGTATATTTCCCACAAGGTTGTCACTTTTATACAAGGTGTTGATGTTTCCAATGATGTGATCAAATCTGCCTGACGTTTCTGCAAGTACGTATATTTTACCTAACTAACAAAAATATCATTTATTTCATCATATACAGCATCAATTTAAAAAAAGCAACAGATCTGAATAATTACATTTATATTATGCTTCTTGATATAGCATGCAACTTGTAGCAAGGCCTTAGTAAAATCTGTTTGATATTGGTCGGGTGTCTTAATGATAGTAGATCCTATCTTTTCCAATTTCTCAATTATAGATGGCAGACAACTGTCCAAATCCCCTGTGATAAGATCTGGTATATATTGCTCATGTCTATCATTTAGTATATCTATCCCTTGCATCTCCAGATACTTTAGCCATCTATGTGTTCCACCATCAACAGTGACAGTGATTCGAGCTGTTTGTATAAAGCAATATATAAATTAATAAACATAAATTTTGTTATATAAATTTGTTATATAAATTTTGTTATATGTCACCTGTAATTTTTCTTGTCAACAAAAACAATTAACCAGGCAAGGTATGCATGTTTAATCAATTCAACTAATAGTAACATGATATCAATGTTATAATTTTGCTACTCAATAACGTAAATGTAATATAACATATGTATGTTATGTAAATATATATATAATTACATGATTGAGTGGGAAATTAATATTGACACTACTGTTATGTTGCTGTTTATTGGGAATGTACCTTTCTGCCAGAAAGGGAGCAGCACATGGTGCTTCCAATGATGTATAGGACGATTCAGCACGATCACCGCGTATTCGCGGCACGCACCACCCTGAAACGCATCGAACGGATTCCACGTCTCGGAACCGTGCGTCGACTCCTGCTGCATCCCGCAATCCGACGTAACGTGTCCCATCACTGAAGAGCGTCAGACGGCAGATAGAACGAGGTTAGAAACGAGTACAGAGGAGAATCCACGTAGATTTTTACGTAACACGAGATGTCACGCCGCTTAGCCCCGGTCCTCTCCTCCACTGTGTTTCGCAAAACAAGTCCTCGGAGGATTCGCGAGAGGAAAGGAAAAAGCGAGAAAATCCGTCTATCTTTTTCATTCCTCGTGAATCCTTATGTCAGACTTACTTGCTCGCCGTCGCAAGTTTGTCTCTGGAGCGGCCTTAGGAGTGAAAGGAATACAGATGTTCATATGCGTATTCGAACGTATCTCGAGATAAACGCGATTAACATCGTATCTCATTCCATGCATTAATTGTTTCGCAACGCGATAAAGCATCGGCTCACTTATCAGAGACAATATTTCGCAATTGCAATCTGCGAGCAAGTCACAGTACACACCACATTATGATGTCGAACGTCTGTTCGTCTATATAAAATTCCATCGAGCCGAAATTAAGTTCAAATATCGCGTGTCTGTATTTTTTTTCGAGTAGCACGCCGCCTCGAATTCGTCACGGCTTTATGCGAATGCGAATTGGAGGTTAGAATTCGGCCAGTCTCGGAGAACTTATTTTTAGGTTTAGAAACGCTGCACCGGTATAAATTTCACATCACATGAATCCGTGAATGTCTTCTTTCTCTGTTAGAAAGAAAAAGAAGAAAGATGAATGATGTAAGAAGTTCAGCTAAAAAGAACAAACATCTTCATCTGAAATGTCATCCAGATGCAGTCTCTGCACTTAAAATAAAGTACTCATACGAGATAATTTATGCTTGAAGAGAAAAACAATAAAATGACATATAAAACATGAACAAAAATATGTTCCTTTTGCAGTCTATATTTTACTTTTTTCTCTTTTTCTTTTACATATCTTCATCTATATGACGTCTCTTTAAATATAGAGAGTGCAGAAAAGTGCATCCAAAACAAACACGCAGGTCCAATTTCTATGATTTATTTGCAATTTTACGTATCTGTACGACTGGCTTAGAACATTTTTTGCAATCCACGGTTTGTTTGCATTGTCAGTCAACGTATCCATTTCCGATATCAATTGCTTTCTGGTTTCTTGCAGATGGGCTCAAGAACTTGGATATGGAAAAACATACCGAACTTAACCGGCCGGCACAATGATGTAATTTATACCCAACCCAGGTCACAACCAACACACGATTTTCTTATATTTTTTGGCGGCGATGTCCAAGTACGTTCAAATTTGATCAACAAATGATTAATTATAATTTATTCTCCTGTAACACATTTAGTTATTTTGCCACCCAAATCATTTTTATTATTCGCTTCTATCATTTCAAATTCGTAAAATATTTATTAATATTTTATGCTAAATATAGTTATATAAATTACACATCATATTTTCAAATAAAATATTGTTATCTCTCTCTTACTGTTATATTTATATTGCATTCAATTTCATATATTCATATATTAGCAAAGTTGTTTGAGAAATGTTATTACAGGATATTTCAGAAAATATGGAAAAGCATGCAGACAGCAAGAAATACATGAAATGGAATTTAGAGAACACTGCAACTATGCTCTCTGAACAGTTTCCTAAAAGTCATATCTTTGTCATTCGTCCATCCAGGTAAAATAATTGATTTCTTTTTTGTATCAGGAAGAATAGTTTAACTTTAGCTAACTATGTTAAATAGTAACATAACTATATATACATGAGTGACTTATAAGTATAGAAATATAGCCATGATTTATATGGTACATTTCTATAGTACAATATTAAAAATATCATCATGTATATAAAAACAGAAATTTTTCAATACTATTTTAGTACAGTTTCTCGTATTGTGCAATAATTAGATGTAATGAAGTTTAAAAGAATTTATATAATTCTCTTGAATGTTGATATTCATATTAATTTACTAAGGTACTAAGGATTATATTAAGGATTTTATATTTATTTCAGGATGATGATAACTAAACACGCAGTATTCAGTTGTTTCGATAATTTCGTACCCGGAGATAAATATGGCACACCATCATTTTGCCCAATGTACATGGCTTTGAAACATTTAAGAAATCTCCTTCTATGTTGTCTCGAACATATTAAAACATTAAAGATAGTAGAAGTATGTATATCAAAAATAAAAACTATAATCTAAAGAATTTTACACATATAAACTAATATCGTATTAATAAGTTCTCAGTTTTAATATTTAACTGTATTTCTTTCTCTTGACAATATTCTTAAAAGATATATTATTACATGCACTGATTATAATAACATTGAGATATTGAGTACATATTTCGATATTCTTTAGGATACTAACAGTTATAATATTGAAGCGACAAACTTAAGTCTAATGGGTTTTAGTAAAGGATGCGCAGTTCTGAATCAATTTCTTTACGAGTTTCATTATTACAATGATAATTCGGATAAAGATACTGATATAAATAATTTTATCAAACTTATCAAAGATATGTGGTGGCTGGATGGTGGACACAATGGTTCCAAAAATACATGGATTACAGATCAAGATATACTTCGTTCGTTCGCTAAATTAAGTAAGAGTGATCTAACGGATAAATATCAAATAATTTTCCAATATGTTATTTCAATGTAATGCAACTTAAATATCTTTTTCAGAAATAAATACTCATATACACGTCACGCCGTATCAAATGCAAGACCATCACCGGCCATGGATTCGCATAGAAGAAAACAGTTTCAATGAAACCTTGCGAAAAATGGGAGTATCTGTAGAACGAACCTTACATTTCGGTAACAAAACGCGAAGTCTCTCCTCACATTTCAATGTCCTTACGGATATAAATAACGTACAGTAAAATTATTATATTCTGTTTCTTGAGATTCATTGTATAAATGAACATGCATAAAATTGAACATGTTTATGAATCGTAGCAATAGATCGCAATTTCTTCACTTTAGAATCAAAGTATAAAGCAAAATATAAAGCAGTATAAAAATTATGCTCTTGATAATTGTTGATAATTGACATTTCTATATTGCAAAAATATAATTTGTAAGAAAAGCTTAAAGAATCTATTTTATGAAATATTCTTGTAATGTACATATTGATTATCATTTATCTAAATGATAATCTCATAATATTCTTAATCTAGTCATAAGTAATATATCTGTTGAGTATAAATAGCATAACATTTATATACAATATTATTATATTTACTAATATTGTATTAATATTATTAATTAACTATTAATATTAACTATTAATATTATTATATTTACTATAATTTTGTTATTGTATATGATATGTGTAATATCTTTATGAATAATTATTAATTAAAACTGATAAAACTGCAAATGTTTATTTTATTCAATAGTCTAAGGAAATATAGTAAAATTAATTCTCGTTTTTTTCTTTTCGCCATTCTTTCCTTTTATTTTTAATTATTAGTGATAATACCTGTCTTCATAAGTCGACAAAAAAATGAAAAAAATATTACATAATGTGATAATAAATATACATATATATATATATAAAAAGATCTAGTCTAGCTAATAAAGTATTATGAAAAATATCTTGTAAATATGTAAAGAGGAACTATCTTTGCATGTATAATTCCATCATTATTATTGTTATTTATATTATTTTTTGAGGTATTTTTCATAATAATAATAAATGTATTACGCTATAATTAAACAAAAATGTATATTTAACTAAAGTTTCTATTTACCTATAAATATATTTTCTTAGATTTGATGCTTTTAATTCTATTATGTGTTATGCAAATAAATGTAATTTTTGCAAATTAAAGAGAATCAAAAATATTTCTTTAGTCATATTGATAATATATCAACATTCGAGAAATTTTAATTATGTTAATATATCAATATTTGATTCAAAAATTCAAAAACAGCTCCTTAATCCTAAAAAACTTCATTATAACTCTTGTTTACAATGTTGAGCGACTATTTTACAAACTTTGTTTTGATGTGAAATAAATAAATGCATTTTCATCAAAAATCTAAGATGATAAGGATATTCTAAGCATTTATCTATAATTGGTATTTATCTATAATTTATATTTGGTTGTTGCTGTTCCTGTTATGACGCATAAATCCATACAAGAAATAACAACGCTTCCGTTTTAATTAGAGTTTATCTTCTTCACTAACATTTATTTGGACATTTAGGTCCATGGAAAGTTACTCCTAATTCTGTAATAAATATATGTTTCAAATTAAACAAATCTAAATTAGCAAATGTAATAAATATACTAAAATTATTTTATTTTATATACATATATATATGTTTTTATCTATATCTATAATTATATATAAACTGAACTTACTATTGAGTTCATACAATATTGCTGCTTCAGTCCATTCGTCAGAACCATCACAACAATCACAATATCCATCATTGACCTTGTATGATGGTATTTTTGCTATAAATTTAAACAAGTTTAGTAGATTATTTCTCTATCGTATAACTTTTAACAAAGTTTATATATACTTATAATAAAATTCAATTATAATACCTGCTGACTTTCTTGAACTTGAAGAAGTCTCACAATAAAAGAAGCCATTGTTGCAAGCATTGGTACCTGGTTCATCGCTACCATCCACCGGACAATCACAGTAGTTATCATTGACTCTAACAAAGTCGACTTCCTTTCTGGAGATAAAACACACAAATTTTCCGTTAACATTGGGAAGGTACTTGGCAATATCCTGGTCTCGTGTACCACGCAAAGACACGGTTCGTCCGTTCTTGTCACGTATAAGCTTCGAGTGGTGCGGTTGTTCCCACTTGGAGGACCGTTTGCCGATGACCAAGCGGTGAGTGTCCTGCACCGAGCCAGAGATCAATTTACCCATGGGTTCCCGATTCAACTCCTTGAAGTAAGACAGCTGATGGAGCACAAATACCACGGCGACCACAAAGACGCACACCAGGGCGTATTTGAGCTTCTGTCGAAGTAACCGCCGCTTCCAGGACACCTCGGTCCTCATGTCTGCCGGTTAACCGTTACCGTCGAGCGCTCTCGTGGAACGGATCTCTCCTCGCACGCACGCTAATAATCTTCTCGACACCGCGCGTCCAACGCAGGACCGTCATAGCGCGAACATCTGTAGGACGTGCCGCGCTCGCGTGTAACTCGACGAGTATTCCTGCTTCACAATTCGGACGCGCGAGTATTCCTACTTCACAATTCGGACGCGCGAGGCGATCAGCGGCTGTATTTACACGTTGTATACAGGGTGTCTAATAAGTGCGTAGAACTCACGTGTTCGTCAGCCCAAACGGTCAGGGACGAAGACACGTGCGGAGAATGACATAACCTTCCCCCCTCCTCTCTCTCTCTTTCTCTCTTTTCGTTCGGACATGCGAGAGTGATGCGTGACAGCTATAGCTTGTTTTTTTCTTCATGTCTAGATTTTTATATAAATCATATTCTACAATAGTAAACGTGGGACTTGGATCGGTAATAGAAATGATGAATCATAAGACTCCATTAATGTTTGAAGTGCTCGCCGAGTGCCAAACCACGAAAGCCAGAACTGGCAGGATGACGCTAGTTCATCACCACGTGGATACTCCGGTGTTCATGCCGGTGGGAACTCAGGTTCATAAAGTTTCTTCCTTTCTTTCTTGAATTTTATAAACGTCTCACGATGACTGTGTGAAATGTTGGAGATAATCTCTTTGTTAATGGTGCTTCAAAATATTTTCTCATAAATCTTTTGAATTAAAGTAAAAATTAAATTAAACCCTTATTAATAATTTTATCATTTAATTTGTATAATAGTAGAGATAAAAATTGATCCTGTCATCATATAACTTTCAGGGAACATTAAAAGGACTATTGCCTCAACAATTGGAGCAACTGGATTGCCAGATAATTCTTGCCAATACCTATCATCTTGGAAACAGACCTGTAAGAATAGAAATCATTATTATTGGAAAAAGTATTGATTGACTTAAAATAATCTTGTTCAATATTCAAGTTTTACATTTATTTTAATAAAATTGTACAAACTCAGTTGCATTGTATTAAGATATATGCATTATATTACTAGGGTATAGATATTTTACAGAAAGCTGGAGGACTGCATAAGTTCATGAATTGGAAAAGAGCTTTGCTAACAGATTCAGGTGGTTTTCAAATGGTTTCGCTATTGGAATTGGCTGAAATAACAGAAGAAGGTGTTAAATTTAAATCACCATACAATGGTACCGTATATATAATTATATATTTTTTAAATATATCCAAACATAACTTACATATATAGTTCAACTACCTTATGTTTGTAATAACATATTATTATAATTTCATAGAATCTGAATGCATGCTGACTCCTGAACATTCCATTGAAATCCAAAATGCAATTGGAGCTGACATAATTATGCAGCTCGATGATGTCGTTAAAAGTACTTTAACCGGACCAAGAGTAGAGGAAGCGATGCATAGGTACAATTATTTTTGTAAATGCATATTTTTTAATTCGTTTATTTCGTTTCTCTAATTTGAATGAATATTATGCTGTAGTAAAACGGTAAAATTTCAGAACGATACGTTGGCTGGATCGTTGTTTGTCAGCACATGAAAGACCAGACGAGCAAAGTATATTTCCAATCGTACAGGGTGGTCTTAATCCCGAGTTACGATCCGAATGTGCACGCCAACTGACTAAGCGAGAGGTAAACGGGTATGCTGTAGGAGGTTTGAGGTAGATTGCCAGATTATTCGCTAATATATATAATAAATATATATAATAAATTAAAATAAGGATTTTTATATAATATTAAATATATATGTAATCTCACATAAAACGATAATTTTTCTAATGATTTCAGTGGCGGTGAAAGTAAGGATGATTTTTGGCAAATGGTCCATTTATCAACAAATATCCTTCCAAAGAATAAACCGCGGTATCTCATGGGTGTTGGATTCGCAGTAGATCTAATTGTATGTAGTGCGTTAGGTATCGATATGTACGACTGTGTATTTCCGACGAGAACCGCTGTAAGTATTATTATAAAATATGCATTTAAATGCATAGAATATTTAAAACATTAAAAATTGAAACTTTCAGAGGTTTGGCTGCGCGTTGGTAAAAACGGGACAACTTAATTTGAAGCAAGCGCAGTACAAAAAAGAGTTGAGACCAATAGACAAGTCGTGTGAATGTAGCACCTGCAAGACTTACACGCGCGCTTATCTGCATCAAATCGTCACTGTGGAGACAGTATCGTGTCATTTATTAACCGTTCACAACATTGCATTTCAAATGAAGCTAATGCGGGACATTAGAGACAGTATAAAAGAACAAAGATTCCCTAAATTCATACAGAACTATATGTTGACAGCTTATCCTAATAAAGATTATCCAAGGTGGATAGTTAATGCTTTAGAGGCTGTCAATGTTACTCTATTATAAAACTAGGATTTGTACTATTTGTACTATTGTATTTTCTAGACTACACATACTTTTAGAATTCTTGTCTATATAAATATGTAAAGATTTCTGTAACTTATTTTTCTTATTATATTAAAATTTCGTATAATAATACGTCTAAGTACTTGCGAGTAGATACACATCAATTTAATAATATGTCATATGTCATTAATATCGTACGACGTTCATGATTTTAGAATTTTTAAAATTGATAAGTGACTAAGAATTTTTCTATTATAAAGACATATACGATGTACATTGAGTCATAAAAATTTCTATAATTTTACAAATACAACATTAGCAAAGTATATCGTTAATAATAAAATAAATAATTGTTTTAAAAGAAACATTTTACATTGATCATTTGAAGTTTTCTCTTTTCGTGTATCTTGCTGGAGACGGAAATCAGGCACATGTTGCAAATGCAAATATTAGTTTCATCACATAAAATCATCTGAATCATATCCGCTGGTTTCTGTGTTTGAAGTCATGTTGGATGTATTGAACAGGGAATTGTAACTCCTAAAAAATAATTATTTTTTAAAATGTATATTAACATCAACAAAAACGCGCTTTGCGCGTCATTTATTCTTTAATTTTTTTATTTTATTTGATTTCTTAATTTTTTATTGGTTTAATACTTAAATTTATTAAGTATTATTAATAATTTATCTTTAATAAAAATTATAATAAAAATATTTTGTAAAACTTATCAACTATCAAAATATATGATTTCAATAACCATCCATGAAAAAATGCCACAAAAGAATCTTTCAGTATCATCCAGAAGAGATTCCATCATTTTAATATATTCAAAATTTTGATAAAATACATTTTTAGAAAAAGATGGAATTATAAAATTAATTTTTTATAATTAATATATTAATATTATAAAGAAATAAAGGCATTTACTATTATAAAAATATTGTTTACCTCATTTCTGCTTCTTCTTGACGTCGTTTTTCTTCTGCCTTTTCTTTCTCTTTCTGTTCCCTTAAGAGTTTCTTCTTATCTTCCCGTTCGTTTTTATCTCTCTGTTCTCTCTCAGCTCTGAAGTTCACTTGCTCCGATCGTTTTGTCTTGGTAAGGCGATTCACAATAGCATTTATTCGTTTGGCAACATGAATTTTACGAACATCTTTGTCCTTGTGAAAGCCAACCTGACCAACCTCCATACCTTGAGTTTTTTTCAAATTCGACCACATTGTATATACAACATCGATATCGTTCATTTTATTCCCTTCGATACTATTAGCTTTTACTAATTGTGCGGCATCTTCCAATACAGTACTAGGAATGTCATCTATCGTCTGGCCCTGCAGTTTAGGAAAGATGGAATAATTAATTTTGTATCATTTTTTAGCATCAAGCAAAAGATTCAATGGTAATTAAACTCACATGACGAAGTCGAAGATACACATGGGCAGATGAATATTTATCAACATGAAACCACACATCTTCTGGCCAACCCCATTTGATAAGATCTTCATCTGCAAACAGAATCACATATTAAGTTTCAAATAATTACGAATAATTACAAATATCTTTTCTACTTACTCTCAAATTTGTCTATTCCCATAAACAATGTGACAGGTGGCTGCACAACTGCAATTCAAGATTGATCAAATTTTAATTTTTCAATAACAAGACATTATTGATAACAGAAAAGTTATTCTCGTTATATTATATATAAAGATAATATTTCAGAATAGAAATTACCTTCGCTTGTAAAATAGTAAACCATTATTAATAAAAATTATAAAAAAACACGTGCAACGAAATCAGCTGTCAAAAATATTTTTGTAGTGCCGATCATAGCGCTGTAGCATGATTTAAGGCATAGATCAATGAATATGTAGAAAAACTAGATGGGAAAAAACTATGTGGGAATTAGATGGGAAAAACTATATGGGGAGTATGTGAAAAAAACTA